ACAGAGCTTCAAAATCCTTGCCCCCAAGGAACAGCCTGATCTCGTCACCTTTGCTAGAATGAACCTGTTTATTCTCTTAGCAGTCTATGGTATATTCAATACGTTTCCCCAGCACCATAGCTCAAAGGCAGCAATTCTTCTTCTATCATTCTGAGTCATGGTCCAGCTCTCTGATGCATAGCAAGAAATTGCTAAGAACATGGCCTGGATCAGGATAGAAAAAATAAAATGGCTTCAAATCTTTCAAAGTGCTAAAGAGCAATAATATCAGTTTAAAGACATTAATCATGAGCCTGGTTCAAGCCACGGTCTTCTCAATGACTTTCTGTGCATATGAAAGTTGGACAGTGAATAATTATGACAGAAGAATTCATGCTTTTGAACTGTGGTGTTAGAGCTCTGAAAGCCATATGGACTGCCAAAAGAACAAACAAGTCTATCTTGGAGGAAGAGTAACTAGGGTGCTCCTCAGAGGCGAGGCTGGTGAAGCCTGGTGTCACGTACTTGGGCATGTGGGCAGGATGGGCCAGTCCTCGAAGAAAGACACCATGTTGGGAAAGGTAGAGAGGAAAAGCAGAGGAAGACCCTCAAGGAGCTAGATTAACACAGCGACTGTAACAAAGAGATCAAATATATCAGAGATGGTGAGGTTGGTGCAGGATAGGGAACATTTAAGGTTGATTGAAACCAAAGTTGTTCCATTTTGCTGGCCTTCTGACCCTATCCATTTATGTCTGTGTTCCAGGAAACAGTAAATCACCTGATTGATGTTTATCCCTGTTGTAGTATTATGTGTCGTTGAGTCGCTTGTGACTCATAGTGACCTCTGTGTACAACAACTCTGAAGCCTCCCCTGTCCTGAGCCAGTCTGACTCTGACACACCTACCCCCATTGTCCAAGTCACTGTATCAATCCATCTCCTCCAGGTTCTTCCAAGCATGTATTTCTCCAAGGATTTGTCCCTCCTGGACACATGCCCAAAAGATGTAAGATGGAGCTTCAAAATCCTAGCCTCCAAGGAGAAACTTGGTTTCACTCTCTACAAGAAGGACCTATTTGTTTTCTTGGCAGTCTATGGTATGTTCAAGATGCTTCTCCAGAACCACAACTCAAAGGCATCAATTCTTCTTCTATCATCCTTAGTTATTTTTCAGCTCTCTGATGTATAGCAAGTAATTGTGAAAACCATGGACTGGGTCAGGTGCACTTTAGTGACACTGTTGCTTCTCAGTACTCTGGAAAGATCCCTGACAGTAGATTTACCTAATGCAATTCATTTTTTTATTTCCTGATTGCTGGTGCCAAGAGTGTTGGTAGTGGACCCCAGCAAGCTGAAATTGTTTACAATCTCAGTGTCTTCTCCATCCATCATGGTGCTGCCAATTGGCCCAGTGGTGAGAATCTTTGCCTTCTTATATTGAGCTTCAACCCATATTGATGACCACAGTCCTTGTCCTTCTGCAGCAGGCGTTTCAGTTCAGTTTCAGCAAGCAGGGTTGTAATCTATGACCCACTCCCGGAGGCAGGAGATAGCTAAAACGTGATGTAATGGGAAAAAAGGAAAATAGTCCCAGGCCCTCGAAATGGCTATGACTACCATTAATTGGCCAATATTTGTTGTGCTGCTGACCGGCCAATGTAGAATTGATAAAAACCCCATTCTTCGCTTTGCTATATTGAGCCTCAGCCCACTTTTATGGAAGCACACGTTTTAAATAAAGCCTGTCCGCTCTACACTTGTTGCTTCTAGGCTTTTTGGTGAGTTTGGACCTTTCAGCATGGTTCAGATATGTTCATAGGGTCACTGTGAGTCATGGTCAACTCAAAGGCACCTAACAACAACACAATAGAAATATCACAACTGGGTAGCTTAACAACAACAAAAATTTGTTTGCAATTTAAGACTAGAGGTCTGAATTCAGGGCATTTTCTCTCTCTGCAGGCTCTTGGGTAAAGTCCTTGTTTCTTTTCAGCTTCTATTTCTGGGTTCCTTGGCAATATATGGCAAGCACTCTCCTTTTGTGCTTGATAATTTGCTTTTTCATATCTCAAAAGAGATTGACTCAGGACATAGTCTACACAAGTGCTATCTCATTAACATAACAAAGAAAGCACCCCCTGCCTCCTCAGGTGGGATGATGATAACTGGTAAATGGGTTAGGCTTTACAACACATTTTAGAGGTACATAAGGTTCACTCTGTAACACTTGGTGTAATTTCCTTGGGCTCTGCAAAGACAAAGTAATATGAACTTGGTGGTATAAGGCAAAAGAAATTTATTCTATCACAGTTTGGGAGGCTAGAAGCCCCTCAAGATGTCAGTTCTTTAAAGGCTTTAGCAGGGGCAGAGGTCATCCTTGCTTCTTCCTAGTTTCTGCTGCTTGCTTGCCAGGAATGCTCTGTTTTGTTGGCTTGCAGACACATCACTCCAGTCTCTGCTCCTCCGTCACATGGCATTCGTCCTGCAAGTCTGTGTGCTGCTTCTCCTCATAGAGGGACACTATGTTAGAAGCTTGTAATTAGAACAGTAACTACAGACATAACTGACTCCATTTGTATAGAATAAGTCATGTTAAGGGAATAAGTTTTCTGCCAACAGTTGTTTTTCTCTGCATGAATGTCCAATATGGTGGCTGCTTTCTCTGGTTAAGATGTTTTCCACAATGGCCATCTGGAACACCAATACCAGAGGTCAGCAGAATGAAGGTGGGCTCATCCTTGTCTGATTAAAATAAGAGATGAAGAAAGTTATGGCCCTTATTTTAATCCTTGGAAAAGTTGTGTTGCTGTTGTTAGGTGCCATTGAGTCGTCTACAACTCATAGTGACCCTATAACAACTGATCTGAGCCTTGTCCTATCCTGTACCATCCTCATCAGCTCAGACATGCTGGAGCCCATTGCTGCAGTCACTGTGTCAGTCCATCTGGTTGAAGGTCCTCCTCTTTTGTTGATCCTCCACCTGTCTAAGCACAATGTCCTGTACACATGTTATATGCCCTGCCCTCCTGCACCTTCACTCCTATCCTGGTCCTTAATTTAGCTTACTAATTGTATGTTTTTAGTCACTAGATAGGCCTGTCAAAAGAAATCAAGAGCATCACCAAAGAAGACATTCAGATGGCTAACAAACACATGAAGAAATGTTCAAAATCCCTAGCTCTAAGAGAGATGCAAATGCAAATCAACTATGAGATATCATCTCACCCCAGTCAGAACAGTAAAATTTAACAGAACAGCAAACATCAAATGTTGGTGAGGTTGTGGAGAAACAGGAACCCTTATTCACTGTTGATGGGAGTGTAAAATGGTGCAACCACTGTGGAAGGCTGTATGGTGCTTTCTCGAAAAGTTGCAAATAGAAATACCATTTAACCCAGCAATTCAACTTCTGGGAATTTACCCTAAAGAAACCATAACTGCTACCCAAGCAGATATATGCACACCCATGTTTATTGCGGCTTTGTTTGCAATAGCAAGGAGTTGGAAACAACCTAAGTGCCCATCAACAAATGAATGGATAGAGAAGCTCCAGTGTATTCACACAATGGAATACTACACTGCATTGAAAAACAAGGAACTCATGAAATACTATCTAAAACAGGTAACCCTGGAGGACATTGTGCTGAGTGAAATATCTCAGTCACAAAAGGACAAATATTGCATAGGGCCACTTTTATAAAATGTGACTGATATCAGGGTTGAGGGAAGACAGAAAAGGAGGAGAGGAATGATGTATATTGCATTGAAACCGATGAGGGAGGGATCTGTTTAAAAGGGATATATGAATAGGTATTCTTGTCATTACAGAAGTCCTGAATGAAGATTGCATAGTGAAGTGAACTTGGGAGGAGGGATTGTCTAACAATGAAAGAGTTTCTCTTTTCAAAAAGAAGAGTGATTTGGGGAGGAGGGGTTGGGCAGGGAGGAAAGTGCAACAATGAATGACTGGAAATCCTAAGTCTCTGTAAACTTTCATTAAAATTAATTTTTAAAAAAGAAAGAAATCAAGAGCAGAGGATACTTTGGAGAGCTACAGAAAGCTCTGTCTCTTGTTGGTGTACACTTTTTAACCAACTTCTTTTTTCTCCAAAACCTGAGTTAACTAGTTAGGCTGTATCACTTCAGGGATATAAACCTGAGATTTTAGGTAACAGTTAGCCACATGGGATTAGGTCCCACTCTGCTCCAGTATGACCTCTAGATCACATCTGCAAAGACGTTATTTCTATTCATTTGGCATCTTGACAGCGTGGGTTTTCTTTCAGAGACTCTGACGTTGTATGCCGTGGAGTTGGAAACGACCCATATCTGACCCTCCAGTGGAATGGATTTGAACCTCATGCCTTTAGGATTGCAGCACAGCTTCTTACCACTAGGCCACCAGAGGATACATATTGGGGTTTAAGGCTTAGCTCACTGCTTTAGTGTGACAACTTTGCCCCACACAACACACCAAAAGAAATGGCTCCTTGAAGCTTTCTGAATAAATATTCGCATCATACACGTCATATGAAGGCTTCACTCTTATGATCCCTTCATATGAAAGGATCACTCCCCTCAAGTCTCAGAAATTAAATGAGACTGAGAAGAATGGATGCATCTAACTTAACCCATGCCTGTTATTTCCACCATGAGCCCGCTGCCCAGGGATGGCCCCTGGCTGGCTGAGCAATATCAATATCATGGCCAGGGCATACCAGACCTGTTTCAAGGTCTCTTGCCACCTTAAATGGTTCCACTTGCTCTTTGCTACTAGTTTCATCTTCATTTACGAGGTTCTGGCATTGGTTATGTCCAGAGAAGAGCCTGAGAAAAGGGAGGAAGCGTCTGCACTTAGTTCACAAGTCAGTCTTTTCTCTGCAGAGAAAACGAATTCCGACCTCACCGGATAACGGCTCCTCCTCCTCGGCAGCCGCCAGTGGCTTCGTCACGTGACCGCGAGATCAGCTGACCTGGTTGGACAGGAAGAAGAAATTTCTGCTCCTAGACCGTTTGGCGCGATGGTAAGGGGTGAGGGAAAGATACAGGGGGTCCTGGGGGCCAGGCAGAATAGAGTCCCCCCAAATCCCATATTGCTAATGCAGAGAAGAAAGGTAGGATACCAGGTGACCTCAGAATTGAGGAACGGGTGAGTCTGCTCTGGCCTCTTGGAGATGTTCGCAAAGGAGTGCCGAGGGCTCTGTAGAGCAGTCCTTTTGTAGCCCACCCTGCGTTGCTTCCCACAAAGGCAGGCTGAGCGACGTGGAGACCTGAGGGCTTTCTTTCCACAAAGAAGGAGCCCTTATGCCGTGGGACAGGATCTGGGCTTGTCTGGTTAGAGGAGTATTTCCAGGCTCTTCCAAACTTCTAGGAGGACAACACAAACGTGTCCACTTCCCCAGCCCACCTGTAGGAGTGGAGAAGAACATGCATAGAATTAGACTCAGTTTTCTTTACTGTTAGGAAGCACCCTTGCTTTTCCAGAGTCAGAAAGGAATAGTTTTCGGCTCAGACTTCCCAATCCATCCCTCTATTCCTTCAGTCGTCTATTGAACATACATTTTTGAGTGTCTATACCATGAGCTCTGGTGACCTAGCGAAGAAGGAGTTGCACTGCCAACCCAAAGGTAAGTGGTTTGAGTGCACTGGCAGCTTCAAGGGAGAAAGATGGACGGCCGGCCTCCTCCTGGGTGATTTACAACCTCTGAAAACCCACTGGAGGTTCAACTAGGGGTCTGTTTTGAGTCCTCAGCATATAGCACCTCTACACCATGCCCTGGGACTTCAGCTGCAGAAAGAGAGAGGAAGCGAGAGGCGTATAGTTAAAACTGAAGGGGAAAGGGCATAGCTTGTGCATAGAAAGACTGCCATTTGAATGGCATCACCCTGAGGATTCAGGGGGAAAAGCTGGCTGGGTGAAGTGCAGTATGTGTACTAGGAATGGGAAGATGTGGGGGTGGGGTGCTGCATCTTCAGGCTGGGGACAGCATGTGCAAAGACCAGTGAGAGAGCCTTCGAATCCCTCAGAATGAACCCAGTTCACCAGAAGAGAATAATCTAGAGGTTCGTGAAAGATGTGGCTGATCTTTCTGGATCTTGGAAAACATATAAATAAGTTTGTACTTTAAGTAGAGAGCGAGAGAGCACTAGTGTGCTAAAAGGTTCCTTCTGACTGTCTTGGAGGGAGATCAGGAAGGGGGAAGGAGCATAAGCTGGGGACTCCAGAAGCTGTTGGTGGTGACCTGCTTTAGACTAAAAGGAATGGAGAGAAAGGAAAATAAGGGGAAATCAGTATTGAGTCATTGAATCAGGGAGTCATCAGCACAAACATAATTGCTGACGCCTAAGAACAGGAAAGCTGTCTCAGTGAAGGTGTGACCTGAGAGGGCCTTGGGCAGAGCCTGGAAAATACCAGCATTGTAAGAAATAGTACAAGGAACACATTCTTGCAGGAAAATCCGTGCAATACAGAAGTATGTAGAACTCTATAGGTAGAATTCAGGAGTCCAGGAACCTAGGGGAAAATCTGAAAATCTTTTCTTTCCACCAATTTGAACCAAAACCTTAGTGTTTCTTGCTGCTATGTTTCCTTTTCAACAACCTCAGTGTAATTAGCAGCAACTCTGTCGGTGATGAAAGTCATGAAGAGCTTCTTATCATAAAATCGCTGATAGCAGATGGCATGAAATAGTGTCTGTCTGCTCATTATTTCTAAATTATTGTGGTTACTAGAGTTTCTGCTGTGTCTTGGGTGGGGTTTTTTTTCCAGTTGGTGTAAAGAGGGCCTTACAGACTTCACCAGGTGCCAAACAAACCTGCAGCAGCACAAAAAGGTTGCCCACTGGCATCAGATTGACTCCAGCTTATAGTGAATTACTGTGCCATGCCAGGACAGAGGAGAATGGCCCTAGAGGGTTTCTGAGGTTGTAGATCTTTATGGTCATAGGCTGCCTGATCGTTCTCCCGAAGAGTGGCTGGTGGGTTCAAAGAATGGGAATTTTTGGTTGGTAGTCCAATGCTTTAACCACAGCATCACCCGAGCTCCTTACCAAAAGGCAAAGACCCTTTGAAATAGACTAAGAAGCTCAAGACCATCCTTCTCAGCCCATTACTTCATCACTAGTCCATTCCCCTACCCTAGAGTAGCCACAGTCAGGAGTTGTGGAGAGCACCACGTTGGGGCTGAGGAAAGGAGGAGACTCAGGTCTGAATGAACAAAGGGCAGGCATTTCAGGGTGTTGGCAGAACATGGTAGAGCAGTCATCTGGGATCACACATGGAGCCCATCCACACCCCAGCCCGCCTGGTAGCCTGACCACTCCCCCACCCCCCACCCCCGTCTCTCTCCCTTTGCAGAGGTTCCGCTTCTGTGGGGATCTGGACTGTCCCGACTGGGTCCTGGCGGAAATCAGCACGCTGGCGAAGATTGTTGAGTGCACAGGGTCTACTTGGTTGGGAGGGAGGGGTATTGGGACTGGGGCTGTGGGAGTGGCAAGTGGTGAGGTGACTTGGGTTGTGACCTCTGTGCCCTTCAGCCTGTCCTGGCATGCCGTGTGTCTGGGATCATGTTGAGGGTGAAATGACCAGCCTGGCTGATGTGGGCCCTTCCTTTCCAGTCCTCTGTGAAGCTGCGCCTGCTGTGCAGTCAGGTGCTGAAGGAGCTGCTGGGCGAGGGCATTGATGTGAGTACACCATTCCCCGGGAGCTGGGTGCTCCGGAACCCCCGGGATACCACCCATTCTGCCCTCTGTTGTTGAGTAACATTGAGTTGGAACCAACTCACAGCTGATCCTTGAGTGGGTTTTTAGAGGCATTTTAATCTCATGGGAGGAGATTGCCCATTTTTCTCCCATGGAGCAGCTAGTAGCTTTGAACTGTGTGCTTCAGGTTAGTAGTGCAGCTCCTTACCACTAAGCCACCAGCGGGTCCAGGTTGGGGTGGAGGTGAGGGACTGATGAGGATGGGCACCCCCTGAGGTCCTCCTTTCCCTACAGTATGAGAAGATCCTGAAGCTCACAGCTGATGCCAAGTTTGGTGAGTACTCCACTGAGTCCTTCGGCCTTTGGATAACCCTGTGGCCCAGCAGGCATAGACCCCCCCCTCCTCTCATCAGCCTTCCCTCATCATTTGCTGTTGTGCAGAAGCATGAGGGGGAGAAAGGTCCCGACAGCCCTGCCCTGAACCCCCATGCCCTCTAACATCTCTGGTGGAACAGGAAAAGTGGCTTTGTGAGATCTAGGGGTTCTGTACTGAAGATGGTGGGGTGACAGGGAGGCTGCACGGGCTGCAGTGACACGCCCACCCCACTGCGGGCCTCCCTAGAGTCAGGCGATGTGAAGGCCACGGTGGCGGTGCTGAGTTTCATCCTCTCCAGTGCGGCCAAGCACAGTGTGGACGGCGAATCCTTGTCCAGTGAGCTGCAGCAGCTGGGGCTGCCCAAAGGTACAGGGACAGGGCGGGCAGATGGGCAGCTTGTGGATCAAAGACTGTGGCACTGCATTCTCTGGGCCAGCAGCCTGAGACCTGCCCACTGGACAACCCTAGCCCAGCCCCTGCCTGGACTTCACAAGACCTCTGTTTTGCCCCTAGAGCACGCAGCCAGTCTGTGCCGATGCTATGAGGAGAAGCAAAGCCCCCTGCAGGAGCACCTGCGGTCCTGTAGCCTTCGTGGTGAGTGCAGGGTGGTCCATGTGGGAAGGGGTTCATTTTAGAAGCTGCCAGTCATGAGAGGGAGACTTGACCATAGACACGTGTGGAGCAGTCTCAGAGCTGGGCTCACTCCCAGCTCTCCGAGTCCAGCCTGGGTTCCTTTTCTCTGAGGTCTGCTGTGTTTACCCGAGTTGCTGTTCACTGAGCTCCTGCTCTGTGAGCACAAGGCCCAGCTCAGCACCACTGTGCCAGCTGTGAGAATGAGGAAACAGGGTAGAGGAATGAGAGCTTTTCAGAGGTCTCAAGCGAGGGAGAGGGCAGAGGGCTGCCCAGGATCCTCAGTGCATCCACGCTGTCTTGCAGTGAACAAGCTGGCAGGTGTGGGCTGGCGGGTGGACTACACTCTGAGCTCCAGCCTACTGCGGTCTGTGGAAGAGCCCATGGTGCACCTGCGGCTGGAGGTGGCATCTGCCCCAGGTGCCAAGGTGCAGCCTGTCACTATGTCTCTATCAGTAGAAAAGTTCCAGGTCCTACTGGCAGGTAACACTCAATCTGACCTAGAGAGATGCAGGACCCTCCCAGCTCCCACCTGCCTGCTTGCCCATATGCCCACCTCTTCCTCTGTAGAGCTGAAGCAGGCACAGACCTTGATGAGTTCCCTGGGCTGAGAAGAAAGGTGCAGAGATGCCTACTTGTGCCAAGTGACTGCCCTCCAGACCTCTCTTCTGGGAGTGGCCTCAGGCCCAGCACACTGGGTACCTGGGCTGGACCCAAGGCCTCACCTCAGTCGTCCCTGGCTTCCTAAGTTCCCATCTGGAATTCAGCAGGAGGATCCTAAGGCCCTGTTCCCAGAACTGCCTTTCCTCCTCCTCAAAGACACATGTCAGCTCTTCACGAGTCAGGAGAAATAAACAGAAATACAAGGGAGTGTGTTTGTGGTTTCTTTTTTGGTTTCAGATTGGGGAGGAGGGGGTTTGAGAGAGACCAAGTGATACTTGGCCCTCTAGCCTGTCACTCATTTTGTCTTCTCCTCTGCTGGTGAGGGAAACAGGACCAAAAAGAAGCAGCTTGTTCTTTTTTTTTTTTTTCAGATTCTCAAATTTATTTATATACCCCCTTCCCAAGGCTTTCACAAAAAATAGAAACAATACCAACAAAAATCTTTACTACAGCGTTGAAGTGAATTTTAAAACCATAGCTCAGATCCATTGTTTTATAGCTTATATAATTAATGTAGGCTATAAATTCCAACTTTATATTAGAAGTACTACATAAGAAAACCCAGCCCATATTTTTTTTTCTAAATAATTTTAATGAACATTTACAGAGAATTTGGATTTCCACTCATTCATTGCTGCACTTGTCTCCCCGCCCAGCCCTCTCCCCCCGCCCCCCAGTTCGCTCCTCTCTTTCAAAAGTAAAAGAAAGACTCCCTCCCTGGTACACAATCCCCCCACACCTCTCCCACTGCCCCAAGTACATTCCACTATGCAACCTTAATT